GGGGGGGTTAGAAAGGGAATATTTTGGCCATTGCTCATCCTCTTCCAACTTTCAAATCACAGTGTGGGGCTTCTTCGTTCATTTTTATTCCTGTTTCTCTGTACCAGGAAAAAAAAATGAATCTAAGGCTAAGCATCTTTCCTGGGCCATGGGCATGCATCACACAAAAACAGTGTAGAAACTCTTGAGCCCGTGAGTGTAGAGCAGGGGTAGGCAACCTTTTTGAGCCGGGTTGCTGTCCCTCAGACAATTGGGGGGCCAAAGCAGCATAAATAAATAAATAAATAAATTTTAAAAAATTAAAAAAAAATTAAAAAAATATGCATGCACACTCTTTCAGCCCCAGAAAAGCCATGATGGCAAAACCCCTGTGGAGATTTTGCCAAGAAAACCCTAAGAACAAGTAATAATGACAATAATCAATATCATCATGGCGGGCGGCAGCGGGGGGTGGCGGTGGCGGCGGCAGGACCGGCCTGGGGCCTGTCCAAAGGCCTTGGGGGGGCGCATCTGGCCCCCGGGCCTTAGGTTGCCTATCCCTGGTGTAGAGCTAGCCACTTTTCCCTCCCCTCTTCTTGCCCCTCTGTTTTTCTTTCCCTGTCTCCTTTCTCCCACTTGCAGGACCCTTGCAGGCTTTTCCTGCGCAGAAGGAGGCAAGGCCAGGCCAGGCCAGGCCAAGGAGGGTGACCTTGGAGCCTCCTCCTCGCCTGGTGCCTGGCATTCCTGGCCAAGGAGTTACTACTAGCAGTCACGAGACTGGAGGGCCCCCTTCCCACCTTCCCCTGGCAGCCTGCAAGCAGTGCTTGTGAACCTGCAGGTCTCTTCCCACTTATTTTTATTCACTTATTGTATTTATATCCCACTCTTCAGCCAGAAAGGCTCTCTCTCAGAGCAGCTTACAGATAGTTAGTTAATTCCCTGCTCTCAGGTTTACAATCTAAAAAGACATGACCCAAAAGGAGAAGGGAAGGGAAGAGCAGTGGGGAAGGGGTTTTCTTGGTAAGTTTCTTCATGGCCACCCTCTGAGGCTGAGAGAGTGTGACTTTCCATGGTCGCACTGGGATTCGAACCCTGGTCTCCTCTCCCAGAGCCCAAGGATGTATCCTCCTCACTGCAGAAAGAATCTTCCTCAAGTCCCAGTACTAGTCACAGCATGTAAAGGGAACAGGCAGAAGCACTTTGTTTTGAGACTAGGCAGAAATAATCCGGTTTGAGATCACTTGGACTGCCCTGGCTCAATGCTATAGACTGCAGGAATAATCTGGTATGAGACCGCTTTAACCTCCCTGGCTCAATGCTAAGGACTCCAGGAATAATCCGGTTTGAGACCACTTGGACTGCCCTGGCTCAATGCTAAGGACTGCAGGGGTAATCTGGTTTGAGACTACTTTGACTGCCCTGGCTCAATGCTAAAGACTGCAGGAATAATCTGGTATGAGATTGCTTTAACCACCCTGGCTCAATGCTAAGGACTGCAGGAATAATCCGGTTTGAGACTGCTTTGACTGCCCTGGCTCAATGCTAAAGATGGTAGATATAATCCAGTTTGAGGCCACTTTGACTGTCCTGGCTCAATACTAAAGACTGCAGATATAATCTGGCTTGAGATCTCTTTAACTGCCCTGGCTCAATGCTAGGGAATTCTGGGAACTGTGTTTTTGTGAGACATTTAGCTTTCTCTGTCAGAGAGCTCTGGTGCCACAATAAACTACAATTCCCGGGATTCCCTAGCACTAAACCAGGGCAGTTAAAGTGGTGCCAAACTGGATTATTTCTGCAGTGTGTTTTAGACCTAAATCTTCTCTTTGGTGCCATGATCAACTACCATTCCCAGGATTCCATAGCATGGAACCATGACAATTAAAGTGGATTATTTCTGCAGTGCGGATGCAGCCAAGGATCTCTTGCAGGTTGAAGGACACTTTTTCTGAGACAATAACTCCCACTAAACGGCAGGACTCCCAATTCCTAGTCCCCAACCGTGTCAGTCCACCAGTGCCTGCCTGCATCCACACTGCAGAAATAATCCAGCTTGGCTCCACATTAACTGTCCTGGCTCAATGCTATGGAATTCTGGGAACTGTAGTTTTGGGAGACATATCACTTTCTCTGTCAGAGAGCTCCGGACATTAGGACCAACCACAGAGCCCAGGATTCCATATTATGGAGCCAGGGCAGTTAAAGTGGTGTCAAACTGGATTATTCTTGCAGTGCGGATGCAGCCTCTGTTAGGGAGCTCAGGACACCAAGACCAACCACGAATCCCAAGATTTCATGGCGTGGAGCAATGGAAATTAAAGCGGTGTCAAACTGGATTATCCCTGCAGTGCAGACACCCTAAAAGCCATCCCTTGAGGGTCCAGGTGGGTCTCCCATTGACCAAAGGGGACAGGGCACCGTCAAATGGAAGGCGATCAAGAAAAATAAAGGAACATGGCCACATAAATAAAAGTTTTAAAAACACAGAGAGAGAGAGAGTTTCACAGTGATGCTCAGAAGGGAGGAGAGCCTTTTGGGATTCACTCCTGGACAGAGGGCTGGGATGGAGGGCAGGTCCTGGAAACATGGAGGACCTTGAATGTGCTTCTTAGCCCTGCTCAAAATGGAGGACCTT